TAAGTATTAAAATATTATCTGGAAATATAGTGTTATTTTTTTTACATTTATGTTACAAGAGAAAACTTTTGCTGAAAAATGATATAGCATTCAGTATATGCTAGCAAATCTAGCTGATTGGCAGAGCTGGATTCCCTTTGTGCTCACAGGTAAGATGTAAAACATTGCAGATATGCTGTCAGCAAATGTTTTCTCTTGCAAATGTCTTAACATAGACTATTTGTCTATATTTCACCAAGACATTCATTTCTACATGATACAGATTGATATTTGGATTTATCAATTTTTTTAATGACCTTTATGATAAAAATATGAAATCAAGTTTATACCAAATCAATTTGGCAACAACCTAGAGTTACTTACATATCTATTTTTATCAAAATTATAGGGGTATTATTGGAATTTCTATATATACAACACTTGCCAGGGTGGTGTAAGCCCAATGTAAATAAAATATATGAAGTCAGTTGGGCATCTCCTGCAGGTGAAAGTCCTGCATCAACGTTAGCCAATACGCCAGCATTTTGGGAAAAAGTATGAGTGTATAATGTATGGCAATCACCCCCAACACCTGTATAAGAGTGCTAGAGAATCCAACTCTATGGGGACACAAAGCAGCCTTCACCACCTTTTTCAAAAACAATTTAACAATTGTAAACACATGGCGCTTGAATAGCTTCAGCCAGGAAATGACAGCTGTCAGTGGAAAGATTTTGCAGACGGCAGCTGAATGTAAATACAGCAGGTAGTGGGCCAATAGCCAGCCTGCTATTGGCCATTTCATATTACAATAGCCAATAGCAGGCTGGCTATTGCACCCACAAAGTGCTTGCTGTGCCCTCCTCCTAGCATGAAGGAGAGAGCTGGGGGATCCAACCAACTAATCAATAATGAGAATAGTTGACAACTATTCTTATTATCGATTATTGATTAGTTGGTGGAAACATTTTTTTTTCCAGTGTGTAGCCTTGTCCCATTGAACCTAGTACCCAGGCTTCTGTCCAATCTTGACCAGCTATTATTTCACTGTCCACTTCACAGAGTCTTTCATTAGAGACGCTGAAAAGAATGAAAATCCACTTATTTGCCTGGTTCCAAACTTTTGCTGAAGATGTCTCATATGTATAACTACATACCATCTTGATCCAATGAAATTAATATTTCTAGAAGCCTCTGGGGGAACACGGTCCCTGCCCTATCTTCCCCCAGTGCAGGGGAACTACAGACGTTGCCTCTCACCATCAGAAAGGCAAAGTTAATTTTTTGACTGTCTCTACAGAATGACTTCCACAACAGATGCCCTTTCTAGTAATTAGGGACATCTTACCACCCGTCAGAGTGAAGCCACTGTTACCATGCAATGGAAGGGAAACAGGGTCAATTATTTTAATGTGTATATAAAGGTAATTTTTATTTTGTTTTCGACAGAGTGGGGAAGTCTAACATCTCACGGCTGGCTCCAGCCACTTGCAATGACAGATCAGCGTCCCCTGGTTGCCAGGGGACGCTGATCTGTCATTACAATAAAAACTCGTCGGAGCCGCCAAGTTCTCAGTGTGTAATGACAGTTCAGCGTCCCCTGGTTACCTAGTAACCAAGGGACGCTGAACTGTCATGAGAGCTCAGCGGGGCCGGCCTTGATATCACTGCCAGCTGCGCTGAGCTCTCATTGTAATGACAGTTCAGCGTAAGCCTGGGAATTCTGGCTTCTGTGATGGGGGAAAGCCTGATGATAAACGATGCAAGGGGCTCTGCTGCTGTCTACAGAGCCTCCATTAGCCTGGTTCTGGTGCTCTGGGTTTTGTTATAAGCAGAGCAGGGAATAGCTGAAGGCTTGAGTACAGCCTGCTGCACAGGCCACGCCTCCCCAGGTGACTTCACCATGAAGCTTGTCAACCACCCTTCCCTTTATTATACAGAAAAGGAGGGGGGTAGTGATTGTTCTCTGGGTCACCTAAGCCCCGCCCACAGGTACAGTTATCCGGAAGGGTCTGTACTGGAAATAGAAGTGTGCTGGGAGAGGAAGGATCCTTGTAGTCGGGTTACAGGAGTCTCAGGCCTCCATTTAACCCTTTAGATGAGGAGGGGGAGGAGGAAAAGTTTTCTCAGCCACTTTATAACAAACCAGCACCCAGCCAAGTTAGACAAGGGATTGATTAGTAAGTAACTGTTAAAGCACATTGCTTTGTGTTCTCATCTTGTCACATCTGCATGACAAAGGAGTGGTTGTAACCAGTCCAGCGACCCCTGGTTACTCGGTAACCAGGGGACGCTGAACTGTCATTACACACTGAGAACGCCTAGTAACCAGGGGACGCTGAACTGTCATTAAAATTAGAGCTCAGCAGAGCCGGCGGTGATATTACATTGTAATGACAGCAAGTCCAGGCCAATAGAAAACAGTTGGGTGGCGCTAGCTATCACTGCTAGCTCCGCCCAATCATTTTCTACTTTTTTTTACAGTCTTTCTATTCTGCTCGGTACCACGGAGGTACCGAGCAGAATAGCCGAGCCGAATGCGGCTGGGCGGCATTTGGCTATTTACTCACTGCTGTTCAGACCCTATGAGAATAGGCCGAACAGCAACGGGTAGCCTGCCGGAGGTTCGGCTCAGACGATCCAGATGTTGGATCGGCTGAGTCGAACACCTTCTGCACTTCGGGACGGCCGAACATGCTGTGCATGTTCAGCCAACCCACAGCCAGCCGAAGCAAGCCGATGTACGGCTGAAATCAGCTGTACAAGCCTGAAGTGAATAGCCGAACAGCGTTCGGCTCACTTTACTTCGGGTCGGTTATTCACACGGCTGCCTTCGGCAGCTTTGTGAATAACCCTAAGACTTTTTGCTACACAGCACTGACCGATCATAAGAGATTAATCACAAAGGGTGTGTCTGCTAATCTCTTATGTATCGGCACTCATAAAAGCAAATATGCTACTAAGAGATAACTTGACCCCATAAGGTTTTAATAGCACAACTGAACAACTAAAAAATGTGTTGGATAATCCTAGCCTTAAGTCCCCCTTCACACTTTGGCGTTGCGTGAACGCACGCCAAAGCAATCACTGTGGCGTCCGTGAACGCAACGCGTTAAAATGCGTTTGTGGCACCCCAAACACACCCTGTAAAAAGTGCACTTGTTCCTGTATGTGAAGCAAAACAAATGGCAAACACACTCATCAATTTGTTACCAGTTTTACAGCAAGGTGCACTTGGAAGGGCTTAATACAGTACAACAGCAAAAAAGTTTCCCAGCACACTCACCAGCCAGCATGCAAAAAAAAACATGTCTCACCGCTGTGGACGCACATCAAACACAACACATAGTGAAGTGTGAACGGAGCCTTAAAGTGACATTAAACCCTCAGATTTTTTAACATAAACCAATACTGTAATCTGTGCCTTAGTGTAATCCATGGTTGTTTCCCTTCTCTTTGCTGCTCTACAGTATTGGTTTATGTTAAAAAATCTGAGGGTTTAATGTCACTTTAAGTGTTACCAATTGCTTTTCATTCAAAAAGCCTATCTTCAGGGAAAACAAAAAAACTCCCTATGCAGTGGGGCTCCTCCTGCACTGCAAGGGTTCAATGCTTGTTTTTGCCTAGGGTACCCGTAACAAGCTGTTCTACTTACCTGATCCCCAGGTGCTTAAACCTTTTCCCTCACGCTCCAGCTTGTGGACAGTCCCTGGGTGACCAACAGTTGGCCCTGCATTGTACTTGATGATGTCAGAGGGCCTGCGACAGCTGGAGCGTGAGTCTGAAGGATCCTGTCTTGCAGGGTGAAGCGAGCCTGTGGGAACGAGAGATCAAATAAGTAAAAGTGCTATTCTAGGCAAAAATTAGCATGTACAGTTAGTCACCTATGTGATAGCAATAAAGTGTTTAAATATAAAAAAATTGCAAAACAAATTTTCTTTAAAGTCCCCTGCCCCCCATGTGCACGCTACACATGTTACATATCTGCACGAACGTTGCAGTGAGAGCAATAATTGTAGGGCTGTCAATCACTGTTAGCACTAGACTGATGAGCGGTAAAAGCTTTTAAAGTGTTCCCTATGGAAATTTGGGGTATTAAAGTTTTTTGTGGCTACACGGGCGAACGCAATTTTAAGGCTTGACATGTTTGGCATCTATTTACCCGACGTGATTCCATCCTTCATATTTTACCAAAAAAGTGGGTATTATATTCTGTTTCTGTGCACTAAATTTCATTTTAGTGTATTTTATCCAAAAAATACCGGTTTGATGAACATTTGCGCAAATACCGTAGGACATAAAAAATTGCAACTAGCATTTTTTTTATTCTACAGAGCCCCTGCTTTCAGAAAATATATAATTGTTTGGTGGTCTGAAGCTGTTTTCTTGCCAAAAATTCCGATTTTAGCATGTGTGTGCAAATGTAAGAAATTGCTCCGGACAAGTGGTTAATTACATATGTGTTTCAGCTTGGCATAGCAGCCAGGTAAGTAGCATTTTCAGAAGCAGCCAGCAATAGCAGCCTCTAAAGTTTCCAGCACAGGTTTTGATACAGAATGTCCGGTGTTACAACTTTCCCATAAATCTATGATGACGGTTTAAAACGGTTCATGATTAATACTATGCTCTAACAGGTACTGTACATTCCTGTATAGCAGGGGTGGGCGACTCCGTCCCACCAGTTGTGGTAAAACTACAAATCCCATCATGCATCTACCTTTTGGAGTCATGCCTGCGGTTGTCATAGTCTTGCAATGCCTCATGGGACTTGTAGTTCCATAACAGCTGGAGGGACGCATATTGGCTGCTGTGTATTGGCTGCTGTGTAGTCACATGACCCAATGTCAGTCCCTTTCTACCCTTAGTAAAAATGGACGACAACCTCAGCTCAGACGTAGTGCAGTTGCATGCCACGCTGTAAATAGCTTGCTGCCCGTAACCAAAATGGCCAAGACGATTATCTAAACCCAACCAATCACAGCGCACGCTCGTTGAAAGGGCGTGGCAATTGCTTGGCTGGCGGTTTGAAGCGAAGGGCGCGATTTCCCAGATTCGTTCGCGGTTGGCTTCTAGTGGACCGGGTGACGGCCACCAGGCCAACAGAGAGATGGCGGGGCAGCTGACACGTGAAGGGATCACTCTGAAAGGCAGCGCGGAGATCGTGTCCGAGTTCTTCTGTAAGTTGTCCTATACTGTGTAATGGGAGGGAAGCCTATCTGTAGTATGCGTGGTACACGATAGGCTGCAGTACTAGATTGTGACCAGACCCTCTTTAGTATACACCGGGGTAAAGTACAGGGCACAATGGAGGAAAGAAGAAGCCGTGACCGATTTACCAATCGGGTGTCCCTGGACTGGGGTGGGTGTGTCCAAGAATAACAGGCCTGTTCAAGGTATTGTCTGCAATGGACATGTATTGCTTCCATGTACCTATCCATAAAGACTCAGTGGAACTACAAGTTTCATGAGGCACGGAGAGGCATTGACAGCCACAGGCATGACGCTCTTTGTAGTTTCATCACAGCTGAAGTATCTAGGTCAGTGTTGTTGAACCTAAGGAATGCGTGCTGCAGAGGCCCTCCTGGTGGTACGCAAGCCTAGGTGCCAGTCCATTGTCATGTCTAGGGCCCGCCAGCATACAGGGGAATTTATTTCTTTAACAAGCCAGCAATTCATGAACCTGCTCTGTGAGGACCCAGCACAGCCTGCTCAGGACCCCGCACTAGTGGTGTAACACCTGGAAGGATGCAGCCCTGCGCTATGCATTTTGAATTTTGCTCGCAAATTGCGAGGACTCATTGGTCAGCGCAGTCCCCTGACCAATGCGAAGCGCTTCTTGGCAAGAAACACTTCTCATCGGTCAGTGTGGTTAGAAGCACTTGTTATTGGTCAGGTGACTGTGCTGACCAATGAGTGCTTGCAATTTGCACGCAAAATCCTGCACTAGATGGTAGAACGCAGTACAGATAATACACCTGCACCAACGGTGGGGAAGGAGCATTCTCCGAAAGGTAAGTATAGACGGGGGCCGGATTGGAGCGGGTATTTTCATTTTCCAAAAATTCCCTTGGGGAAAGTGGACTTAGCCTTTAAGTGGGAGGATTCAGCACCCTCCTACCAGCCATGATACAGGAAGGCTGGTTCACACCTAGGCGTATTGAATATGCGCGTGCGTCACGTGTTTTTACCGCGATTCGCGGTAAAAAAACGTGCGACAAACACGCGTTTTCGTGGGCTACTTGGCTGTATCCCAATGGAAACGTGAGACCAAAACGTCCCAAAGAAGTACATGTACTTCTTTGGGCGTAGGCCGTTTTGTATCGCGTTCGGACGGGCGGAAATATGGCAAGGTGTGAACCAGACCCATTGAATACAATGGGATTTAGATGTTTGAGCGTTCGTCGAGCGTTGAACGCGCTACAAAACGTTCAGGGGTGAACCAGGCCTAATAAAGTCAAAGTCCATGTGCATTTATTATTCATTGGCTAAAGCAACTGCAATCAGTGGGTCATGGGTGCTATGCTCTGACTGCTGCAGATTATTCTCCCCTCCATATCTGTACCTCAGTGTAAGGATTTGTGAGCACGGCTGTGCAGGGGGAGCCACGCCAAATTTGAAAAATAAACTATCTAAAGAATTAACTTGGGGGGGTGATGAGCGCTTGTTATATGCAGCATATAAGTGCATTCTGCTGCAAGCACTGTTTTAAGCGCATTAAGGTGACACGCATTCTGGTTCGGGCAATCGCGCTGCAAGCGGAGGGGGGCGCGCGTGGCTGGGGGGCTATTAACTATAATGCACTGCCACACCCCCTCCCGTCCCAGAACGCAGGGACCCGGCCAGGATGCGATAACGCAGCGATTCGTGCTGGGACGCACTGCATATGGTGTGCACAAGATCTAAGGTGTACTGAATCTGTATATCCCATGACTTTTTTTTCTTGGCAGCACTACCCGATTAGAGATAATTCACTTCCTGTCCTGTAGACAAGTTGAAGTGATCCGGATGTTCTGATGTTGGCTTTTCCTGTGTTTCAATCCAGGTGACAGTGCTCTGCAGTACAAATAGAGGGGAGGTACAGTAATGAAAGCCTGAAGAGTTCGAGCCAAGCCTAAAAATAAGAAGGCTTGCTTTAGATTCAACTCAGACTGAGGAGCTGCTGGGAATGCTCTGCTGTTCTTCCTGTAAATCTGCATATACAAGCATGAGATTCTCAAGGTCCCTGGCTTCACTGAGGCTGGTTTTATGTGGCTGCACTGAAAATGACCTCCGTGTCATACAATTTTTATACAGGGGGGGGAACTAAAGTGGGCAGGACCTGGAGTTGGGCTTTAAAGCTGGTATTGCATTATTTTCCATTTCTTTTCCTGTTATGGTTATCTTTAACACATACATCTTGTTTTGTCACCTCCCAGTTTTTGGCATCAACAGTATCTTATATCAGCGTGGGATTTATCCTCCAGAGACCTTTACCCGTGCACAGAAATATGGGCTCAGCCTGCTAGTCTCTACAGATCCGGATCTAAAGAACTACTTGGATACGGTGGTGGAGCAGCTGAAAGGTACTGATGAACGCCAGTTCCGTTCTCCTTGATGGGCGTCCAGAGAACTGCAGAATTTCCTCCCTAGTTAACCCCTTCGTGACGGGAGACGTACAGTGTACGTCCCGTCACAAAGTGGCTATATGACTGGCCACGTACACTGTACGTGCTGAGTTATATTAGCCTCTGTAATGCTGCTAACTGCTGATTCTCAGCAGTTCCAGTCATTAATTAATACCTCACTATTGAGACATTCATTAATGACATAGTTAAGCTTTTTTTAAAGCTTCTTTCTTTCATGAATGAAGCCTTTACATTCAGATACGGGTTCGCTAAATAGCGATCCCGTATCTGACAGCTGAAGATAGCAGAGAGGTAGCAGTGACTCACCTCTCTGCTATTCGTTTTGACAGCTGGAGAGCCTGGCCCGATGTTAAATGATACATTTCAACCACTAGATACAAAATGTATCTCTTGAGTGAAATGTATCAGTTTTGATCGTCTAGGAACGATCAAAGACCTTTAGTGAGATCTGATTCTGAGATGCTGTCAGGATCAGTCTCTAAAGTTATTAGCTGTTCCTAAGCTTGGAGCAGCCTGATAATAACTAAAAATGTTAAAAAGTTAATTTATTAAGCAGTCATAGTGATTGCTTGATATAAACTGACAAAAAAAAAAATTTTTTTTTACACTTATTTTTTTTACAAAGTGTAAAAAATAAAAAAAAGTGTACAAAAAATTAGGAAAATAAAACTTTTATATATAAAGATATTTGTGTACTATAATTATTATTAAACAAATTCTAAAAATAATAATAATCAAAACTTGCTGCTGTGGAAGAATCACACAGCAAAAATGTAAAAAGTGTGTCAGTCATTTAGGAACAGAAACTAAAAACTAGCTCAGTCATGAAGGGGTTAATAGTATTCATTGAAGTTGTTCACAAAAATGAAAGGAACACTTTTTAATCAGGGTATAGTATCAAGTCAATGAAACTCCGGGGATATTGATCAGGTCAGTTCAGTAGCAGAGGGGGTTGTTAATCAGTTTCAGCTGCTTTTGGTGTTAATGAAATTAACAGGTGCACTAGATGGGCAACAATGAGACGGCCTCCAAAACAGGAACGGTTTAATAGGTAGATGCCACTGATATTTTTTAGCATGACCGGTTTGATGGTGGGTCAGTGATGGTCTGGGGAAGCATATCCTTGGAGGGACGCACAGACCTCTACAGGCTAGACAATGGCACCATGACTGCCATTTAGGTATCGGGATGAAATCCTTGGACCCATTGTCAGACCCTACGCTGGTGCAGTGGCTCCTGGGTTCCTCCTGGTGCATGACAATGCCCGGCCTCATGTGGCGAGAGTATGCAGCCAGTTTCTTGAGGATGAAGGAATTGATACCATTGAATGGCCCCCATGCTCACCTGACCTGAATCCAATAGTACACCTCTGGGACATTATGTCTCGGTCCGTCCGCCGCCGCCAGGTTGCACCTCAGTCTGTTCATGAGCTCAGTGATGCCCTGGTCCAGATCTGGGAGGAGATACCCCAGAACACCATCCGTCGTCTCATTAGGCGCATGCCCTGACATTGTCAGGCATCCATACAAGCACGTGGGGGGTCATACAAACTAATGAGTACCATTTTGAGTTGCTGCAATGAAATTTCAGCACAATGGACTAGCCTGCTGCATCATTTGTTCATTTTGATTTTTGGGGTGTCTTGAATTCAGCCCTCTGTAGGTTGATCAATTTTAATTTCCATCAAACGATGTGGTATCCTTTCATTCCTAACACATTGATCCTTTCATTCCTAACACATTACCCAGTCCAGTATACAGTAGATATCCAGCATGATATTTTCTCTAGTCACCTTCCAGGACAGCATTAGAGAGATAGGCTCCTCCCACCGGAACAGGAAACACATCACCCACACTTAGAATAAAAAGGAGCACAAGCCTAATAGAGATCTGATGTGTTTTCAAAGTGTTCCTTTCATTTTTGTTTGAGCAGTTTATAAGGAGCTGGTTAGTGGGCAGAGGGCTGCAGTGTAGTCACCCTTTCATGCCATCAGGCCAGTATTGTGTTTGTCCACACATCACATGCTGTACAGTACTTGGCTTACACTTAAAGCTGAACTCCAGTCTTGTACAGTTGTAGAGGCTCCTCTCCTGGACTGAAATAGCTTACTCTGATCTCACTGTACATTGCAAGTTTCTCACTGTACGTTAGAAGCTGCAGCATGTCAGAGCCTGCCTTATTTCCTGGCTAGAGGACATCCAGCATCATCAAACCCTTTCCTCTACCTGAACTTTCAAAGGTCGCCACTTTCATTTATTGGCTTTTAGCGCTATCAAACAGGCTCAGCATCACTTGTGGACATTACCTAAAAGCTGACCTAACAATACGTACTCCTCCAGACTAACAACTGCACATGTAGGCATGCTGATTTTTTATTTTTTTTTCATAACTCCTCCAAAGAGCCAGCCTACTGCTTGCACCATGGCTGAGGGGCTCTTGAGAGGAGTACTGGATTGCTCTTTATTCAGCTTTGGGTGGCTGCTTTCTTTTAAACTCCAGCTTGTCGATTTAGTAGTTCTTGAATGTTGTGATGTTTTATTGTATTCATTTGTTTTTCCTCCTAAAGATTTCTGTATCCTGCGTGTCATTTTAGATTGGCTGTACAAATGTCAGGTCCAGAAACTGGTGGTGGTGATTACAAGTATCGACAGCAATGAAATTCTGGAGCGCTGGCAGTTCGATATCCAGTGTGATAAAACTGTAAAAGATGACAGGTAACGGTTTATTTCTGGTTTAGGATGTCAGCCAATTGGCACTCAAGTCTCCGCTTCTTAATGGCTGCCTATGTAGGGCAGATGGTGTAGGTTCGCCTACCTGTTGTGAGCCCCAGGGATTCTCCTAGCGCTGTCAGGAGATGAGGCTGGCTTCCTTTCCCCCTTCAGTGCCCAGTGGGGGCCGGGACCGGGAGGACGAAACCCCCTTGGCTAGGTCAGGGGAATCCTATTTTGATCGCATCGCACAGTGCGGACCGCAGGCACAATGTGCCTTGCGATCCCGTGCGGAGGATCGCATTGCGGCCGGAGGGCGTGGCTACGGCGCCATTCACTTGAACCAAAATCGGGCCGGAACGCACTGCATCTAGTGTGACCGAGCTGTAAGACTTGCCTTCCTGATGGTGCCTTCTATAGAGCGCACTTGTACTGAGTGAAACGCATTGGCTGCCATTGCTAACTGAGAATGCCAGTCACCTGGCTATTTGTGCATTCAATACTTTAAGTCACGAGCATGCAGCAGGTGAAGTCAGAGCTCCTGATATACATACTGTTTGAATCTGACCTTGCCTATAACATTTCTGAGGTAACAAGCGTGCTGAGGTTACCTTTTGTTAGTCTTAAGAGAAACCTGTACTGTGGTAAATATCGGGGCTGTGATTGCTGTGCTCTTATTTGGATCATGCTGTTTGCCTGGCTCTCGGGGCCCATTCACACCTATGTCGCATTATTCGCACGGAACTGTGCAATCCATGCTATCATGCAACGCACCTTCCATGTGCAGGTGCATGGTGTTGCTATCTGTTTGACATCCCAAAGCACTTCCGGGCTCGGCTGGAGTGAATGTCCTTCAGCAGCATGGCTTGTCACATGATGCGAAGAGACTTGGCTGCATTTGGTATGGCCCTGTCCTCTGCCCTCCTCCCATACCAACTGCAGCCACATCCCTTTGCAGCACAAGACAAGCCATGCTGCTGAAGTGCATTCACTCCAGCCGACAAAAGCCCGCAGGAGGGGGGGGGGGGGGGGGGCACAACCCCAAAAAAAAACCACCCTCCCCCCCCCCCCCCCCACAAAGCCCCGGGGGGGGGGGGGGGGGGGGGAGAATGAACCCACGCTACACCTCACAACCAACCAGGGGGAAATGGGGGTTATACTCGCCAATCTTTTTGTTAAATGAAGAATCAGCTGTGTCCTTCAATGATTGCAGAGAAAAGGATTTTACGGTGAGTACAAAAAAAGCCTATTTCTCCCAATCATTTTCCAGGCCAGCAACCTGAGAGATGATTGGCACAAAGAGGTTAAATACCTTCCCACCCCCTCATCCCTCAGTTGTTTTGTGTTTCCTACCTCCAGGAGTACAGCGTCACGTTTGTTTCTTTCTTGGTCCGGTTGCTCTTAATATCGCCGGTCCCCCCTCTGTGCGGCTCTGCTGCTGGTCTTCAGAATCTCGGCGGCCTTGCTGCGGGTCGGAGGGGGTCTCCTTTTCGTTTCCAGGCGGTTCTTCTTCCAGGCTGTAAGGCGCCTGAAGCCCCAGGCTGTTGCCCCGTCTGTCCAGTCCGGGGCTCCAGTTTGGCAGGGCGGTGGCGCATGCTGATGGAGCGCACGGGGGGGCGCACAAGGGGAATTTGTGTATTGAAGAATGGGTATTCATTGACCTTAAAATGGACTGTCTGCCCAAGTAATATTGTAGGTGAAGGTCTTAGTTACTCTACTGGCTCAACACAAACCTTCAGTAAAATTCCCGCTCACCCATCTGATGAAAAACTGTAAATTGCTTTACAGACCTGAAATAATGGAGTTAATTTTATTGAATATGTTGGATAGGCTTAAATCTTGGCAGGTTTACCTTCTAACTGCTTTGGCTATCTAACCTGCTGTCCTAATGGAGTATATTGATTTGCAGTGTCGTCAGGGATAAGTCTCTAAAGGTTATTCAAGAAGAAATCCGGTCAGTCATCAGACAAATCACAGCTACAGTAACATTCCTGCCATTGCTGGAAACCGCTTGTAAGTATTTGAGATCTTCTATACTTGTGTATAACTTGTGGATCGGTTTAAAGGGAACCCGTGTCAAGCCTGGACAGTTAGTGTATGTCCAGCCAAAAATGTTTTTCTAGTTTAACATGGAGTAGAACTCCAAGTTTTTACTGCTATCTGAGGCTCCGTTGGAGAGAATTCTCACTTCCTCTGCTGACCAGAGGGAAAATCTGCAACGTGGACACAGACAGACATACAAATCTGATAAGGGGTCGACTCTTTCCCTGATATACGCACTACCATTTTTATTTCTGTCTGTTGCTGTTGCAGAGCTCCTCTCTTCCTGTCAGGTAAATATTTTCAGGACGTATGGGAAAGTTTCTGTAATGGATAGCCATAAAAACCTGACAAGCAAGTGGTGCAGTGAAATGCAAATTTTAAAAACAAAACAAATGACCAAAAATGTTTTTTTTTGTTTTCAAATATTCGATTATTTTTTTTTATAAACTTACATTTTTATATATTTAATTTTTTTACTTTTAGGTGCTTCAGTGAAACATTAGGGATCTAAGCAGAACCCTGATATTTCTCTTTTTCTGCAGCCCCTGTTATAAATGAACAGGAACCCTCTATACTGAGTGTTCCTGTTCATTCATAACTTGTGAATATTGTATGTGTGTTTACTATAACCACAATCATGAATGAACAGGAGGTGATGTAGATCACTTCCCATTCATTCATCATTGAGGACACGGTACACATACTCTGTCCTCAATTATGTACAAACACTCAGCAATCACTGAGTACCTCGCTCTCCATCCTGACAGCTGTCACAGGAGGCCGAGCAAGCGGTGCAGGGAGGAGAGCCCGGCCTCCTGTGACAGCACGGGCTGTCTCTGCCCACACACCGCTCTGCTGATCTGTGATAGGAGGCTGACTGCTACGGGGAGGAGAGATGCCGGCTGATCACAGTGCTCGGCCACCTGTCAGGTTCTCTCTTCCCCGCTGGGACACAGAGCAGCGGGGAGGAAAGAAAGCAGGGATGCACCGCTATATCGGCAGAAAAATTGCACTTTCGACATTTAGCCAAAAGTGCAATTTTCGGCCGATATGTTTCGGCGGCCGATATATTGGTGCATCCCTAGTTCTAGCCCTTACCCAGTCATCTAAACAAGTTTTTTTGTTTTTTTTTGGGCTAGTAATTCACTTTAACTGCCCAGACTTGTCATATTATTTTAAACATGACTATTCAGTCTATTTCTCTCACAATACATGAACCTTTAAAATAATTTTGCCATGGCAGTCCAGGAGCCAGCATTGCAGACTTGTTTTTAAGGAGCTAGCCATTGTCTTGCTTGCTTCACTACCTAATGAGTTCCGGATCTTGAATATGTACAGTAAAGTGTTCACCCCTCTTGGACTTTTCCACATTGTTACAACCTGAAATTAAATGGGTTTTATATTTAAAAAATAGATCTTAATGGGGAGGTGGATGGTTTTTGCATATGATGACATTCACTAAATCTCTGGTGCAACTAAAGAGGAAAAACCTAAACTGAATGCAATGCCCACAGTTACCCCCTGTTGATCCAGAGGAGGGCAAAAAAAAAAAACCCCTATAAAGCATGGTTCAATTTGCTCCAACAGGGAGAAAAAATGACTTCCTGATCCCATAAGGCAATCGGATATTCCCTGGATCAACAATCTCTGGTGTTTTAATATTCCTATAAGAACTCAATATCCAGTAATCTGTGCATTTAGGAATACATCCAGATTTAAAAAAAAAAAATTAAACAGTTAATTGAGCTCACTAGAACTAGCTCCTGGGGGAGTCTGTTCCACAATATGTAATGAGGATGACGGGGGCAAGTGTTCTGTAGTCCTAACAGTAGTCTTAACATTTCTGTCCTCGGGACAAATATTCTCCTCCATAGATGCAGTACATGGAATGTGTGTTGCTGCAGTAGGGCAGGAAGTGTTATTTGCAGGATTAACCCCTTCATGACTGAGGCCTTTTCATTTTTTGCACCCATGTTATATTCCACATTTTAGGCCTGAAAATTGCTTAAAACCCCCACGCATTATATATTTTCTGAATGCCAAGAGCCTGTAGAATAAAATGGTGGTAGTTGCAAATTTTTATGTTGCGCAATATTAGCGCAACTCCTTATTAAACCCCAAAATTTAGTGATAAATGTAATTAAATGCCCCAAAACACAACAAAATACAATTTTTTTTTAAATGAAACCTGAAAGATGAGGTTACATCGAGTAAAATGATACCCAACATGCCCAGTTTACAAATTGCGTGCGTGCGTCCGTGAAACGGCGAAAAACTGCATTACCCCAAAAAGTCCACAGAAGACGCTTTAACCTCTTGCCGTCCGCCCATTAAAAAAAAAACGGACGGCAGACTCGCATCAGCGGGTTGCCGTCTCCAGACGGCATTTTTTTTCCTGCTCGCGCGCACGGGCAGGAAAGACCCGCTCGTTACTACAGCCGTTAACGGCTGTTTCAAATACAACCGATCAGCGGGTCTATAGCCGCCGATCGGTTGTATGGCGTGAATTTCGGAGCGCCCCCCCCCAATCGCGAGTGCCGCTATCTCCCCCTAACTGACCTCTCACCTTTAATCCCGGGATCCGCTAGCCCATCTGCGGCCTGGGACCGGCTCGGGAGGGCATCAGGAGGAGGGAGGGAGATCAGCTCCTTGCTGTTCTCCCTCTGTAGTGTGAATGCAGAAGTGATGTGTATTACATCACTTCCGCATTCACCTGTCAGTC